GGGAAAGAAACCAAAGACCGGAGGATGTGGTATCTAGCTCATCTTTGGACAGCTGACAGCCAGGATTCGAATTTGGGGCCATCTCCATATTGCTACAAAGTTACACTGAGTCAATTTGGATTAGAATGAAAATCTCATGCATAAAGATAAAGGCAAATTAGACTTTTCGGGATGATTGGGGCCACATGGAAGGATATTAAATGCAGGGTCTGTAGATAATGAGAAGACATGGTCTTGACACCATTCTTAAATTCTTGAAAGGAGTCGCCCAGTATCTTCACTGAATTGGGTAAAGAACACACTTGTTGTAAGGTAGGAGTTTAACCCCGTTAGAAGCTTTCTTCCAACCTAGAGATTTTGTGATGGAACCTTGAACCCTCTGGCAGGAATACACAGTAGATATGCCCATCCTTATTGCTGATGGACCACAGAAAGTGATAGCAGGAACCTCTTCACCTAGCGACCCCATGGCATGTCTGCACGGTTAGCAGGGAGGACCTTGTGGTCTTAATCTTTCCTTTTTTTTTTTTGGTACTGAGTATCAATCTTAGGACCCTGCACTTGCTGGGCAGGCGCTTGCACCACTGAGCTATATCCTTAGCCCAAGTTTGTGGTCTTGGTGGATGAACTGTCTGTATGTTTATCTAACTGTAAAGACTGACCACAGTGAAGCTGAAAGTGCATGTGATTTGGAACCCAGTGGACTTGGATTGAAATCTCAATCCCCCTTTCTTTCTTTTCTTTTTTTTTTCTTTTTTATGGGAGTCAAACTCAGAACCTTGCACTTGCCAGGCAGGTGCTTATGCCACTGAGCTATATCCCTGGCCCCTCAACCCCCCCTTTCATTAGCAGTGGAACTCTGAGCCGGGTGCCTGTTTGGGCTGAGCTAAGTCCTGTTTCCTCACCTCTCCAGAGGATCTCATCTCTCTCATAGGAAAAGCACCCGCCCATTTTCTGAAAATCTGAATTGCCAAGCATTCAGTCTGTCTGTGTCTTCAGTGAGCACTGACATTCTGGTTTTATGCTTGTTACAATCTAACCAAGCAGCTGGATTTTGAGGCTCAAAGACCTCTTTTCTGGGAGAAACAATGTGGGCAAATTCAGTTGGTTTGAAATAAGAGGGTCCTAGATCACAGCCTGTCAATAGGGAACTGAAATGTTGACTGGATTAAAAGCCAGTTTCACAAGATTGTTGTGATCGCTGTGTACAGAAAAGCCTATGAAAGTACTTTGCAAACCCATGAGGCTTGATTAAAATGCTAGCCTGAATGACAAAATGTTCTCGTGCCACTGTCTTTGAAAGAATTAAGCTAAAATCGAGTACTTTGCAGGATCTAGAAGGGCTCCCTCTCTGACACTCACTTTATTTCCTTCTCTGGTTTTTGGCCACCAGAACTGAGGTGGTTCTGTCTCACTGGTTGGCATGAGGGATGCCCTGAGCCCTGCCCCTGCCCCTGCAGTAGAATGCTGACCTCTGTGCTGAGTCAAGCCCATAGTTGCCAGGGAGACCCAGCTGGACCCATTTTACAGGACTAAGTCACAGCACCTGGTTGGGACTGGCTGGATAGTGCTTACCTTTGCTAAGTTCTTACGTGTGAGTGGGAGATTAGGCATAGTTGGTCTTTGCTTCTGGACAGGTTTTTTTCCCCCCCGCCCCAGAGGAGACGCTATGGTATCACACTTGATGATAACTGAGTTTTTCAGGACTGCCTATCATTAGGGCTAAATTGTTTCATAACATGATAATTACGACATCACACAAAGTAGGGGGAGCTTGAGGCAGGGTAGCAGAGATAGAGAAGGTTTATTATTGGTTATCCAGGGCATGGTCATGAAAACACTCATTAGTGCTGCTCAGAAGGACAACAAAGTGTCAGCAGAGTAGCCTGACCTGGGCAGCGTGGCCTTGCCTGAGGATAGACCAAGATTCTGGAAGTTTACTGCAGGCAGCATCATTGGCCAGAGTTGACCTTATTATTCAGGGGACAAAATTGTGGCTTGGAAATGGAGGGCCTGTGCGCTTAGCTCTTACTCTGTGCCTTTTACGTTCTGTGTTATTTATTTCTCTTTTTGTTTCCTTAATTTTGGTCTTGAACGCTATCCAGTCCTTCGCACTGTTCACCATGACTCAAGCGGTAAATGTGCCTTCGAGCCACTTAGAGAATCAGATGCTGGCTGCAGGAAACCTGGTTCTAATCTTAGGCGTGCTGCTGTTCTGCTCCTTGCTGCTTAGGATATGGTCCAGATTAGCAGCTTTCCCTGGGAGCTGGTTAGAAGTGAAGGATCTAGGGCTCTATCTAGACCCCTGAGTCAGAATCGGTGTCTCAGATTCCCAGGTACTTCACACGCATCCAGCAGTTTCAGACGAATTGGCCTAACTGGTGACCCTGGGGAAGACGTGGGATTCTTCTGTCTTCCTCCTCTACTTGTTTTGCATTCCTAGGGCCTAAGTTTAACACTGGGCAGCTGTAAATCTATGAACTTTCCTCTGACCCTGGGCATATCAGAGCCTCCAGGGACTTTGTGAACTTCTGACCTTAACTAAAGTGGTGCGGTGGGGGGCGGGAGCGAAACCTACTTTCAGGGGTAGAAACGGAAGTAAGCACAGACTCGCAGGTGGTGTGGGGTTCTGTGGCAATGCCTTTGACCTACTCATTCAAAATCCCCAAGGGTGCCTCCTAGAATGTGTATGTCTCGATGTCCAAGAATGTTTAACAGTGTTCTCTGTAATAAAATAATTCAAATGCAATGAAATACAATCCAGATACAAGTGAAATCAAGCTATGGATATCAACATGGATTAATGTACAAAGTGTATTTGGGAGGAGAAGGCTGAGGAAGTGTGTCTCAGTATGGTATCATTTGTTTAAACCAGGGAAGAATCATATCTATGCAATGATTGGAAACGTGTAGTAAAAGTATAAAGACTTGGACAAGAACGATAAACACCGAGTTCAGGCTGGTAGCTAGTGTTGAGAAATAGCTAATGCTATTTTTTTTTAATTACCTGTTACTGTCTTTGATTGTTTGATCAATGTTACATTCTTATGGCTGGTGGACTGAGCAACTTCCTCGAAGATAACAGTATGTAATGCAGCAACCCTTGTAAATTCCTGTCATTTTGTTTTGAGGTCATGTACCGTTTTTGTGGTTTTTGTGTTGTTTTGATTTTGTCTTCATTGTTGTTTTGGTAGTTTTTTTAATTTTAAAAATAAAAAAAGAATCCTTTCAGATATTTTATCTATTAAAGAGAAAGGGAGGGAGGAAGGAACAGAGGAAAAAAGAAAGAAAAAAATTACAGAAGAAAACATTGAAAAGTAAGAGTTTTTTAAAGGAATGAATATATACTTGCTCATGATACTGTTCTCCATAACTTTGTGAATACTTAACAAAGTTCATCATAAAATATCAGTAAGCTCCCCTGGGAACTCTGAGGCAAGCCCTCGGCATTTGGGAATGACTGCCTGATATAGTCCTAATGACCTTCCAGGTCCAACCATGTTCGAGCTCAGAGCCGTCTCTCCCAGTCACCCTCTCTTCCTCTTAGACACCTGTGCTCAGGGCCCGCAGCCTCGACCCTGTATTCTGACCCAGATGTTGCAGCCATGCCTGTGCTTGCTATGTGGGTGGAACCCAGCCTTCTGACCCCTCGGGACCCAGACTGCAGGAAGCTCCTCTCTGCTGTCTGCCTCTGTCCTCTAGTAAGAGAGAATCTATCCTAAACTCTTCTGATCCTAGAGCTTCACCTTCCCTTTCTGCATTTATTTTCACTTCCGCATTGATTCTTTGGTCCATGGTAGGACTTGATTGGACGTGTCCAGATGGATGTGTGAATCCCAAGAATTTTCAATTTGCCCCAACTGTCACTAAACGAGACATTTTTGGTTTCACACTGCTGACTTCTGGATAGTAGCCAGGATGATACTGCATATCCTACGGTCCACAGAGTGATCCCCTTACACCTTGCAAGGAATTATCTGGTCTAGTATGTTACTAGTGCCAAGGGAGAAATCCTGCTTTGCGGCTCCTCAGGCCACAAACACGTTCCTATCAACGAGGGTGGTGGAGCGGTCTTCAGGTCCTTTAGAGAATAATGGAGGAACAGGGGTGTAGGACTCCCAGGAATTATAAGGGACCATCCCTTATTATGCTCGTGGAATGTTGGGGTTGGGAGTGATTACAGAGACTAAAGGATAGCTGGAGAGAAGCCAAGCCCAGGCAATGGGGAGAATAGAAAGAAGGGGCCTGTGTTAGTTAGCTATCTGTTATTGTAACAAATGCCAGACTTAACCAGTGTATAAAGAGACAGAGTTATTTTGGCTTATGGTTTTAGGGTTTCAGTCCGGAATTTGTTGGCCCTGTTGCTTTGCACCTGTGCTAGGCCATCATGGGTGTGTGGGCAATGACATAGCACAACATCTCACCTCATGGCTGAGAAAAAATGGAAGAGAGAAGGAAGAAGAGACAGTGGCTCCGCATTTCCCCTAGTGAAGACCTCCTTCTGGGCCCTGGCTCTTTTAAAGATTCCACTGCCTTCCAGTGGCACCATGGATGGGCCGGGACCAAGTCTTTAAGAGACAATCCAGATCTAAACTACAGCACTTCTTCAAATGCTTTGATCTTGTCACCCTGCTATAATGACACCCCCATGCTGTAGAACTACAGGACAGCTTATTTAAAGATATTACCCATGCGAAATGTGGCAGATCATCACACAGGTCCTGTCTGACCCATCAGATCAGTGCAGCTGTGTCAAGAAATACCAACAGAATCTTCTCACCTACCTAGCTAACCCACAGAGTAGCAAGCAGTAATATCATAGTGATTTTAAGCGCTAAATGCTCAGGTGGCTTACTAGACCGACATATAAAACTGGCATTATGTATAAGAGACTTCACACACATCCATGGTTGGTATATTTGCCTTAAGAGTAAGCGTGCAGAGTAAATATCAGAACTTGATTAAGGAAAACTGACTTTTTCTTCCTTTGTTTCCTACAGCACTTCTCCGAGCTTCTGGATGAGTTTTCCCAGAATGTCCTGGGCCAGCTCCTGAATGACCCTTTCCTCTCAGAGAAGAGTGTGTCCATGGATGTGGAGCCATCACCGACATCCCCAGCGCCTCTCATCCAGGCTGAGCATAGCTACTCCCTGTGTGAGGAGCCCCCGGCCCAGTCCCCGTTCACTCACATGGCTACCAGCGACAGCTTCAATGATGGTAAAAACTCGGAGTAGGGGATATGCCTGGGACTATGATATCTTTGACTATGAGCTCCTTGAAGGGGTCATGTGTTCATCAGTACCCGCATTAGCCAAACACCTGCTGTGCATAGGCCTGGTGCATGAGCTGAGGAAATTCTAAGAGGTGCAGGATGAGTTTATGTACACCAGACTGTGTCCCAGTGAACTTGCCATAACTAAATCATAGTAATTATTTTCTCTGAGCCTGTGACTTGAGTGACACAGCCGCCATTTGCAAATCAGGCTGGCTTCCAGTTGGTAGCTCCCACCAATCCACTAAGTCTGTTCTTTCAAGAAATTGTGTTTTGTTTTGTTTTGTTTTTTTCCTGAGAAAGACTTTTCATGACCAATTTTCTCTACCGAACTTGAGCATCCTCTTAATTCATTTCCAGTGTGTTCTGTTGACCCTATGTGCCTTTGACCTTGGTGAACATTGCTAGACTTTCCTGTTGGTTACCTTTTCATGTGCATCAATAATGCTATAGCTATGGTGTTTGTTGAAGGTCTAGGTTTTCTGTCATTAGAGTGCTAAGTAAGATGTTTTGACAGCACCCCACAGGCCTTTAATTGGTATATGTCATATGTTCCAAATGTCCAAGTCTTATATCCCTTTCTTATTGAACTATATTTTCTTTTCCTAGAAGGATGATCAGCTATTTTAGTACTTTGATAATGGTTCAGAATTCTCTTCCCTACCCTTAGCCTAGCATGTGACTTTTCATGACTTGTTTGTGGAGGATGATATTGTAGACAATAGTCACTAACTTGTCCTCCTCTGCTTCTGACCTGGACATTCTTCTTCCCCTTATACTGCTGTGTGCACAGTAGCATATTTTATAGGTGACTACTACAAACGAGTTTCCTCACGCTCCCATTTGGTTAGAGAACAATGCCTCTATCTTGAATAAGGAGTAAGGAGAGAGAGGCTTTCCCCCTGGAATTCTTAAACCCACTATTAGCCTCTAAAAGAAACTCTGGGACCAGGAGTTTCAGCTCTAGGACCAGGAAAACATCAGATCTTGGGGCAGAGAATGGTGCAGATGTTAAAATTTTTCATCTCAGTACTTTCTCTCTTCGAATAGGGTTATACTAACAAGGACTTCTGGACCATGCTGGACCCTTAACAATAGGCTCTGGTTTTTTTTTTTTCCTATCTGGAGTTTAGGTACTTGATGGATGCCTTAATCCTTCTCTGTGGCTTTCCCAGTTTTTCTAGCTCAGATCAAGAGAATGGGAGAAGGACAAGCAAGGAGAAAGAACAGAACTAAAATAATATGAGGACATAAAATTGTTGGGGGCCAAGACAAGATGTGTTTAAGGACAGTGTCAACCACATAGCATTTCAACAAAATGATTTCTTCTCCCATGCCCTATGGCCCCCTTCTTCTCCTTCTCCTTCTCCTTCTCCTCCTCCTTCTCCTCCTCCTCCTCCCCTTCCCCTTTCTCCCCTCCCTCTCCTTCCCCCTCCCCCCTCTCCCTCCCCTCCCCTTCCTCCTCTTCCTTCTTCCTCCTCTTCATTTTCTTCTTCTTTCTTCCTCTTCCCCTTCTCCTTCTTCCCCTCCTCCTTCTACCCACTCCTTCCCCTTCCCCTTCCTCTTCTTCCCCTTCCTCTTTCTCTTCTTCTTCTCCTCCTCCTCCTCCTTTTTCTCCTCCTCCTTCTCCTCCTTCTTCTTCTTCCCCTTCCCCTTCCTCTTCTTCATAGTTATTAGTACACATTTGCCACATGTAGTGATGCCATTCTGTTTTTTTAAAATCTCTTTTCCTTTCCTCGTCTTCCCCTCTCCCTTCTTGTTCCCCTTTCCATTTGAACACCATCTTCCTACGTCCCAGTATCTGTCCTCCATTTTGCTCCTTATTTATCCTTTGGGTTTCTCACACGAGAGAAACAATGCGATATTTAAAGGTGTCTGTCTGGCTTGCTCCACTTAACATTATGGCCTTCTTGTTCTCTCCCCTCTTCCTCTGCTTCTCCCCTCCTCCTGCTCTCTGTCCTCATCTCCCTCAATTTCTCACTTAAATTGCTTTCAGGAAAGCTCAGTTCAGCCGCAAGAATATGGTCCATGTTATGACTACAGCTCTTGCTCATTAACCCTCATGGCAGTGAATATTACTATAACAATATGCTGTAACAAAAGTTATTTTAAACTTGCAACTTGTTTATATCTGGAATTTTTCTGTTTAATACTTTTGACTATGGTGCATGGTGGGTTAGTGGAAACACTGGAAAGCAAAGCCACAGAAGAGGGGGAACCACATAATTACTCATTCCTTTCTACATGTAGGAGAGCTGTGGGCAGTCAGCCTTTGTCTAGGCTTCAACTTTGGTACGGTACCTTCATACAACCCTCTGCCTTAGTTTTATTATTTTATGAGTGGTCTTGTTAAAGAATGTTAATTTGATGAGCGGTTGGACTGAATGACCCTTAAATTTCTTCCAATTCTGCGGTTCTCTTCAGGATGGTTCTTTGTAACATTTGTATTTTCCATTTCTTATGGTCCCCTCCTCCTGGTCTGGCCTATTTTATTCCCAGAATTCCTTTAATGTTTCTGTTTCCTGCCCTACTTTTGTGGAATTCATTCCCAATGTCTCATGTATTAGTTATCTTTGTTGTACAATAAATCTTCTCCAAAATGAATGGCTTAGAACAGTAATAACCATTTATTACCACTCCTGATTTCTGTGGGTAAGAGCTTCAGAAGTGGCTCACCTACCTGGTTATGGTTCAGGATTGTACATGAAGTTGAAGTCGGACGCTGCGCAAGGCTAGCACCATCTAAAGACTCTTCCTGGGTTAGAAGCTCACCTCCAGGGTGGCTCTCCCACATAGCCGGCAGGATAGTGTGGAAGAACTGTGTTGGCCTCTTCATGGGGCTGCTCGGCTGTCACCACAGCATGGCGGCTGGCATCCTCATGAGAGAGGGATCCACTCTAATACCTTTTCTGACCTAGTCAGGGAAGTCACTCTGCTGTTCATGCCCGGCAGGACTGACTCACTCTGGTGGGAGACTGTCTAAGAATGGAAAGACCAGCAGGTAAGGTACTCATTCCCTCACTGGCAGCCATCTTGGAAGCTGAGTCCCACACCTCTCCTCAGGATGATGCCTATAAAGTGGCTTTCTCCTATGTCTGAACTCCTTTACCCTGCATTATCAGCACCTTACAATGCTGCGATTCATTCACCAAGAAGTTCTTGGGTTCATATGTAAAGCACCGAAGGAAATACAAAGAAAACATTTGTTCGTTGCTCTCATAGAACTTAGGCATGTGGAGGAGATTGTAAATGTACCCAACAGATTATAAAGGTGTTGGACACAGGCCAACAGAAACAGCTCAGGTTCTGTGCTCTCTATTCACACCTCGTTTCAAATTTGACTTCCCCACTGAATAGGTGTGGGCAGATTACTCAGCTTTCCCAAGCTACAGCTTCCTCAGGTATAAAACTAGGATGACAATGACTTTGTCTTCTTGTGGGGATTAAGTATAGTGCATTTCAACGTGTAGCTCAGGATCTGGACACTAGTACTTGTATTGCCCTTACCTACTGTTGCAATTACTATTACTTAAAACCAAGATAATAGTAATAGTTTAAAACCAGCTTCAAGAGGTCAAGAGGACATTGAGAGTCTTTGTAGAGGATTTCTCAGTTTACCAACCTGTATCCAGCAGTGAAATGCAGTGGGTCCTTACTATTTAGCTTACTAGTGGATTATTCTGTTTTTGCTAGTTTGTTCTTCATAAGTCAGTTGGGTTCTGTGAACCTGCCAGAGATCTTAATCCATTTGAGGGCAGAGATTGACTGCCTGAAAGCTGGGATAAGCTGGTTTGTTCCACCAATGAATGGAGTATTTCTTTAGGTAATAGGATGCTTATACAGTTATTGAGAATGAAAATACCCAAGGTTTCAAGAAGTTTGTTATTTGCTTTTGTTTGTATTATCTCCCCATTATGAAATCTCAGCTCGTGCCCCATTGTTCTTTGACCTCTTACACCTGGCTTTCGAGGGTGTCTGTGGGCTAATATGTCACCCTTTCCCACCATGTCCCACTCCTATCTCTGGGCTGTTCCTCTCCATGCCTCTTCTTACCCTCTTGCCACTACACCCACTGCCTCCTCTACACCCTCTGTTCGCCTCTGCTCATCAAAGCCCCTCCACCTCTCCAGATTTAACTCATTTTCCCTCAGTAGCTGACTCTTCCACCTAGAAGGTGTCACCCTTCATCACATTTCCATACTACTTGCTGTTATTTCTTGGCACTGTTAACGTTGTCCTTATATTGCAGCTAGCCGTGTACTTGTTGGTTCTCTTCTCCATGTTGAGCTGATGGAGACAAGCAGAATTCTGTGTCTCTGGCACCTGGGCGTGGTGCCTGGCACTTTGAAGGTGTCTGACAGACATTCATTTCATTGAAATGATTGTGCAACAGTTGCTAAGGGAAAAGCTGTGAAAGACTAAACAAGTTCCTTGTTTGGTGATGGCGTGGAAAGACATCTCTCTGCTTTCCCACACGCTGCACATTGCTTGTCCTCTACCATCTCTGCCCATGTGGACACATTGGACACTGTATATGTGATCAGAGTGAGAGTTCTTGGCCAACAACATTTGTCACCTACAAGATCAAACACAGTGCCAAGTAGAAAGTAGATATTTTATAAATTCATTACAGTTCATTTTAAAATTTATTCCATTGCTAGATTTAGGCCCCTGCTTTGTCAATCTATCCATGCTCTCCAGCAAAATAAATCAGAGAAAAGGGCAGGAAGTTGCCAGGGAAGGCTGGAGAAAGAGAGCTGATTTGAATTTAGATAGATAGGGAGGACTTTACATTGAAGGGGACATTGGGTGTCTGTCTCAGAAAGAGGCTTCTAGGGACCTCAAACAGCAAGTGCAAAGGTCCTGGAGCAGAAGTGTGGTAAGGATATATAGATACCCATATGGTATAAAGAGAGGCAACACCTGGAGGAGTCAGCCATTCTAG